TTCTTGTTTATTTCCTAATCCTAGTGAACTTTCCAACCATAATTCTAATGAATTAGATGTTGCAGCATGCAATATCATAGTAGTTGGTAAATACTATTGACTGCATTTTGTTTCTCCCTGTAGCCGTTTTCATGTCCATAACTCATAACTCGAGCCCTAAACCAAGTTACAAACCGAATCAAGTTTAATAACTTTGTATTTATTAATAAATTAATGTGATGAATCTTTGCATGCGCCAGCATGCAGGTGGAACAGTGACTCGTGAGCTCGAAGCTTCTCAGTACGTGCATGTTTGATGGTGATGGGAGGAGTGCGTGTGGGTGAGAGGAGAGGGGTGTTGATTCAGCTGATATGGATCGACGGAGGAATATTCCTCCATTAAAGAATATAGAAAGTATACACCATGGCAAATGGCAATCCACTAGCCTATTCCTTCTCTCTGTTATGCTCTTAGTTTCCAAGTGCATGACAGCTATTCTCGGAGGCACAATTATTTGGAATTTCACAGAAGAAAGTGGCTTGTAAACATTGAATAAGATGGTTAAACAATAACATATATTGCAGAAATTCTCATGTCATTTTATGAAGAAGATGCCAATATTTATTTCCATGGTTCCTACTAAAAAAAGAAGATAAATGTTGATATATAACCCGTTTTTAGATAACTGGACTAATTTCACGGATTTTTAAATTAATAAATATATAAATTTTTAATAATTTTAAAATTTATAAAATTCAAATTAATAATTTTTAAAAAAATAAATTATGAGTTAAAGCTAATTTTAATGGAGTTAATAAAGATATTTCACAAGTTCAGATGATGTTGATGATCCTGTCTCCCTCTTATCTCTTTTCTTTTATATATAAAAAAATATGTATTCAGAAACTTAATGGTTAATATATTATGGGGGAAAGAACGAGAGAGAATCTTCTTCTATTTCTTTTCAAAAGGCATCAGTCTGTGACTCAATTCCAATGAGAAGAGAGAAGAAAAGATACTAGAGATGAATGAAGGCAGTACAATGAAAAAGGTTCATCCAACTGCCCTGCAGAATTTAAAAACCATGCATTCACATTTCCACATCTGGTCAAAGCTTGGTGTCCAAGCTGCAAGCATGAGTTCTTGGAAAACCAACCTTACCCCTGTCCAAAAACAAAAAAAAAAACCGACCTGTATCAAAAGTCCAGCCGACAATTTGAAATTACTTTTTTTATATTAAAAATAATTTTTAAAAATTATTTAAAATTTAATCATTATTTTAACATAATTAAAATTAAACTAAATCTAAAATAATATAACTCAACTAATCAGATTTGAATTTATTCTTTGAATATAACTAATAATAATTATTTAAAAATTAATCAATATTTTAATATAGAATTAAAGTAAATTTAAAATGATGTAACTTAATTAATCAGATTTAAATTTATTCTTTGAATATAACTAATAATAAAAATAATTACTAAAATTTTATATAATTATTATTTTTATTATTAATAAAATTAATTAAGATATACACTACCTCAATATTTATATTAATTAAAAAAAATAAAATTATATTAAAAAATATTAATTTAAAAAGGAAAAATCGCAGCCGTCGTGCAAGCACTGTATAACAGCACTTACTTTTTTGAACGGTAGAAGCACTAATATCTGACAAACAAATCTAGTGTTGATATGGCCGCTTCCTGTCCCTCTTGCCGCACTTACCTGGAAACTTCAATATTCAGAAGTCTAGGCTTAAAAAATGACACTGCCTCACCATTTTCCTTTAAAGAGGAGTGTGCGAACTCCTGCTGAAGAAGGAAAATCAGTGGTTTTAGCGCGATCCACTTATTGTGTGCATATCAATCTTTTGATTTTTCTGCAAAACTTCTGGTTTAATCTAGCAAGTTCAGGCTTTTGATTCTTGATTGGTTCCTGAGCCATATAGTTCCGTCTTTTTTTCTTTTCATTTTCCCAGATTGTTCATGAATAACCATTTCCAAGAATACCCAAATTCCATGAACAGATTCGTATTTGACCATGCTTCAGTTTCTTTCTCTCCAAATAGGGATCTTGTTAATGGATATAAACTCAATGATACCTTGAGGAGTCCAAATCCATCTTTTAATTATTTCAATCCTGAATCGCCTAGTGAATCAACATCATCATCTTCTTCCTCAAATTCATGTTCTGAAGTATATGGTCCAAGCAATAATGTTACTCTCAAGTTCATAAGTGATGTGCTTTTAGAAGAGGACTTGGAGGGTAAGACCTGTATGTTGCAGGACTGTTTAGCCCTCCAAGCTGCCGAGAAACCCTTCTATGATGTCCTTGGTCAGGAATACCCCCATTCGTCGAATCAAATTCTTTCTTGTTTCAATCAAAATGTTGAAAGCCCGAATGATGGTGCCACTTGGATTAACAATACTGGTAGCACCAACGGCTATCATACTGCTAACAACTTGGTTGAAAAATCCGATTGGATTTTTGATCAAGCTGATTTGGAGTTATCTCAAGTACCGCAATCCTCTCCGGTTTTCTCCCTTGAAAAAACCCCTCTAGGAACAGATTTCCAAAGTCCGGCGCATGCTTATGAGATGCTCAGCAAAGGGGAAGAAGAAGCCGGCAATTCTCTTTCAACTAGTGATTATTTGATGTCATCTCCAGAGCGCAGCTCCTCCAACCCTCCGGACAAGGAGGAGAGAGGCTACTCACCAAATAGTTCACGGGGAAGGAAAAATCATCAGCGCGAAGATGGTGATGCTTTAGAAGAAGAGAGGGGCAAGAAGCATTCTGCACTTTCTCCTGCAGAGTCTGAGCAGTCAGAGTTGTTTGACGAGGTATTGCTTTGTTCAGGTGCACAGAATGTGTCTGCATCATGTGCTCTTCTGGACAAGTCACAAAATGGAGCAGGGAGAAATGAACAGAGAAAAGGGTCTAATGGTAGAGCGGCACGCGCAAAGAGAAAGGAAAATAAAGAAGTTGTGGATTTGAGCTCTCTCCTCACCCAATGTGCACAAGCTGTGGCAATTGGTGACCAAAGGACTGCAAGTGAGCTACTTAAGCAGATTAGGCAACACTCTTCTCCATTTGGTGATGCAAATCAAAGGTTGGCGCATTACTTTGCTAATGCCCTTGATACACGTTTAGCCGGCACTATGACACCTGCATTTGCACCAGTTGCAAGTCACAGAACATCAGCAGCTGAGAGTTTAAAAGCTTACCAGGTATATGTTAGAGCATGCCCATTCAAAAGGATGTCTAATTTCTTCGCCAACCGGACAATTCTGAAACTTGCAAAGAAAGCAACAAGACTACACATTATTGATTTTGGCATTCTTTACGGTTTTCAATGGCCTTGCCTAATCCAGCGTCTATCAGAAAGAGCTGGTGGACCTCCCAGGCTACGTATTACAGGAATTGAGCTTCCCCAACCAGATTTCCGGCCTACAGAAAGGGTTGAGGAGACAGGCCGTCGCTTAGAAAAATATTGTGAGAGATTTAAAGTCCCTTTCGAGTATGATGCCATAGCACAGAAATGGGAAACCATCAGATATGAGGATCTCAGAATTGACAAAGACGAGATGATTGTCGTCAACAGTTTATATCGGCTAAGGAACCTCCCCGATGACACAGTTGTGGAGAATAGTGCAAGAGACGCTGTTTTGAAGTTGATCAACAAGATCAAACCAGACATGTTTATCCATGGGGTTGTAAATGGTGCTTTCAATGCACCATACTTTGTCACTAGGTTCCGAGAGGCACTCTACCATTACTCCTCATTGTTTGATATGTTTGAGGCTAATGTGTCACGTGAAGATGAAAACAGAATGCTGTTTGAAAAAGAGCGATACGGAAGAGAGATCATCAATGTGATAGCATGTGAGGGCACATCAAGAGTTGAAAGGCCAGAGACATACAAGCAGTGGCAGTCGAGAAATCTGAGAGTTGGGTTCAGGCAACTTACCTTAGATCCGGAGCTTTTCAAGGACGTGAGATCTGTGGTGAAATCAGAGTACCATAAAGATTTTGTTGTTGATGCAGATGGCCAGTGGATGCTTCAGGGATGGAAGGGGAGAATAATGCATGCTCTTTCTGTTTGGGAACCAGTCCAAGAATAACAACATAAATCTTTCTGTGCTCATAAATACTTAGAATTGCTGTTTTTTTAAGATCCTGTTAGAAGTTTTTCTACATCATTTGTAAATTTCACCTCAGATATCTCAGTATAACTTTTTTTAGTACAGTATATGAAATAGACTTGGCGATAACTTTATCATCTTAGCAGTGATTTTGTACATATGTTCACCCTCTTCGTGTTCTAATCCAACGAGCATACATCTTCTAGCCAAACAAAATGCGTATCAAATCCTTGTTGTGGTCCACTGTAAACTTTCACTTCATTTCTGGGGATTGCCATTCTAATCTGGTATTCTTTTGCACAATACCGCGGTCAATGATCAGGGAACTCTGGGCCAAAAAAAAAGGGTGAAGGATGGTCCTATTTCAATTGGGTCGAACTTGACTTCTTATACTCAGTTAACACCATTACTGTGCTTCTTACAAACTACATGTCAAAAACTTAATCTTTCGCAATTAGGAGGTGTTTGCGAAGATGTAATGGTTATTTTTTTAAGTATTTTTTATTTGAAAGTATATTAAAATAATATTTTTTATTTTTTATTTTATTTTTAATATTAATATAATTTGAAAATATTCTAAGAATATTAATTTGAAGACAATAACAAATAAAAATTTAAAATTTTTTAAAACATTTTTAAAATACAAAATTAAACAAGCTGATACTGATGAAGTTATTTCATTCATATATGGTGGCACAAGAAAAAGAATTCTTTCAATTGAACACACCTATTACTTCACGAAGATCGAGAACCGTGATCCATGTGGCACAAGAAAATGCCACATGAATCACGGTTCTTGATTTTCAGATGCATCTACAACCATTTCATTGCACATGGAGATGTTTCGAGGGAAGCCCCCTCTAATTCCTCAGTTCCCATTGTACGTTGTTTCTATATCAAAATGATTCCACATTCTGCAGCAGAGAAAACCCTGTTGCGTTTATGCCCCAAGCATCGTCCCAGCAATAGTCCAAACAAAATTATTCCAGTAATGACCAGCGTTGGTTAGAAGGGCTAGAAGAGAAGTACACCCAGTTACAGAGACAATCTCTGTAAGTAAAGAAATTACACAACATCTTATGCACTCACTAGCAGGAAAGATGCAGGGCTAGAAGAGAAGTGTACCCAGTTACAGAGACGAATGCTCAACCTAACATTAATAAGAAAAGAAATTCCATGACTACCAAGGGAACGACCTACATGTGCTCACCCTCTTTCATTTCGATTGAGTTGACCTTTTGGTCTGAGAACACTCTAGTCCAGCTTGTCATGCTGTGGCTGCTCGAAGGAGCCTTTACTACTATTCAGTGATGATTGCCGCCGCCATCTTGAACCGTTTTCAGTGACTTGTTTTGATGTTGTGTTTCAGCTATTACTTCAGATTGTTTTCTTTAATGATCTCCGTTCACCTCAGAACTCGGTTTAGCAGTGCTTGAGCACTCTACTCCATCTGGTGATGATTCATTTTCTCTGGAAATAGAGAGAGAAGGAAATGCAAATTAGAGGAAAGAATTATCCACAGCAATGTTCAATTGTGGAAGTCAAGTATAAATAATTAAATCACCCGATCCCATTTTGATAGTTTAATCGTCTGTCCACTCTCTTACTTGCTCCTTAAACTACAGCTAATTACTCATGATAGTTTAATCGTCTGTCCACTCTCTTGCTCCTTAAACTACAGCTAATTACTCTTGTAGCTACCTTCAATCAGAGAGTTACAGGAAACTAGTCAGTGAATACAAAAAAAGTTTTAAGAACAAACTAAACAATCCCAATTCATGAGATGATATGACGCCTACCAACTGAAATAAGCTATGAAGAAATCGTGTGGTGCCATCTTGCTAAGGCGCCACATTTTCTATCAATTGCACAACGGCATCACAAATGAAACTTTAGAATTGATATTCCAAGTTGTGAATTGACCACTCCAATAGCATCACACGTCCAGCAACTGTCAACTGATAATTGTTCATCCTGGGTATGAAACATTTTCTTTTCTTTTCCATTTTCAGGTATAAGATTCACAAAAGCTTCTTTTTCTTACTTCATAGAATTTACCAACCACTATTAAAGGAGAACTATCAGGATAAAACAAATGAGAATTCGAGAAATCTAATTACCCACCTCAAAGATCTTCCACTAACAGCTGGAAGTAGAGGCACGTGCATCAGAAGCTTCATTTGCTGCTGCTTATTAAGTTTCTACCAAGATAATGGTTTTGACATGAGGAGAGCAGTGAACACAAGCCAGAAAAGAAGGTTGGGAAGTGATTATTCATTGAATAAAAACTTTCAGGTCACTTGACCTTCATCCTAATGAAACTTTGAAAAGACATCCAGCCAAAAACTGCTCCTGGGTCAGGACCCCTTCCATTATTACCGCACTGCAGTTTATATAAAAAAGAAATCTAAGTGATCTCCTCCAAGAATAAATAAAAAATATCAAGAGTCACTGGCTAGGCATCTGAGCGGCTTAATTAAGATCCTAGGGATCCAAATAGCAACATATTGGCCTTCAAACGTGGACCATAAGTATCTTCAAAGGATAGCAGATTTGGTAATGACATCAAGGACCTTGGTTAAATTACAAGGACATCTAAAATGCTAGTTCGAAAACTCAGGTCACATGTCTACGTAAATAGAGGCTCTTAGGTATCAAGTTAGTCGTGTCATCCGAATCAATTTACTAAGGTCTTCCAGTGTCAAAAGTGCAGAATCTGTGATGAGGCACGGGAGCCAATCATGCAAAAGATGCAACTTTAATGCAATTGTTATACCAATGGCAAGCGCTATTCAGCAACAAAAAAGGAACTCTTTTTCTAAGAAGTTTCAGATAAAATGCTGTGTTCATTCATTCCTTCAACTTGCTCATTCGAAAAGGTACCGAAAATTAAAATAAACATCAGCGAGCCAAAGTCAAAAACGATATGCTTATAGTATGCAAATATCCAGTCAAAGCACAAACCAAAAAAAAAAAACAAAACAACCGATGAAAATCAACATCAAATTAGAAACCAAGGAGTAAAAATAACACATGTAAACATAACATATGGATATAAACGCACTAGTTCAAAATTACCACTTGTTAATGATACCAGGGAAAAGAAATTCCCATCAGGTTTGACCTCTTCTTCTTATTTCTTAATTCTCTCATCTCTCTGAGCTGCTCTTTGCATGAACTATCATGCCAACAAATGAGAACCCATAATGTAACAAGCTTAATACCGACTAAAAATCACTAAAAATTTTCTAAAGCTTATTTAAAATCGTGTGGTAAGAGTAATATCACTTTCTCGTTATTTGCTTTAAGATTTGGAGACAAGAGAGGGGGAGAAACTTCAAAATGAAAGATCTTACAATTGTTAATTTAAAACAAACAAAAAATGAGAAGATTTAAGAAGAATAAAAAATGAAAGAACACGAGTAGAATCCTTACTAAAAATATTGATGAATATGGATGATTATGTAGAAAGAAAGAAGAATTGAAAACACGAAGGAGGAAGAACGCAGGGGGCCGGCTAGGATAGCAAAAGAAGGGGAGAAAAATCGAGAGGAAAAAAAGAAGAAAATCACTAAAACCGGAATAAAGCTTTTTTAAAATCGTGTGGTAAGAGTAATATCACTTTCTAGCTTGTTGCTTTAAGATTTCGAGACAAGGGAGAGGGAGAAACTTTAAAATGAAAGATTTAGAGTTCTTAAACTTGTTAATTCAAAATAAACAATAAAAAGAGAAGATTTAAGAAGAGTAAGGAATGAAAGAACACAAATGCAGAATCCTTATTAGAAATATTGATGAATATGGATAATTATGGATGTAAAAATCCTGAATGAAGTTATGGAATGTATTGTTGTGGTCTTATTAAACCTTTAGAAACATGTTTGAATCTGAAACAGAAATTATGTTATGTTAGTATCTTGATTGTTATTTATATGATTGATAAACTTATATGATTATAAATCAAGTGAATGAATGTGTGATTATAACATGTTGTTGTGGACATGCTTGTGATAGAAATGATGAATTGTGATAGAAATGATGAATTGGATGTGTGAATTAGAAAGGAAATGGGCACCAATGTCGGGCTAAAAAGAAAAAAACAATGATGAACACTCTCAGAGAAACAAGACATGAAATGAAAATAAACTCTTGTATGATGAATAATTCCTATTAGAATGTGTTTAATAAGTTGGAATGATCCAATTGTGATTCATGGAATGAATAGTTGTTGATAACACTAGGTTCGGCTATGGACCACTAGGTGGGAGAATCTTTGGAAAACAGTGTACATGTTTATATTGATCTTGCATTGTGTGGGAACCTTATGATAAACTTGATGAAATTATAGATAATATGTGTTTCTTACTTTTATCAATGTTAAGTTGCATAAAATAAACTAGAATGTTTAGGATGTATTTTACCATGCTACGATGAATGAGAAGTGAAGTTAACATCAAGGAAAATCATAATATGTCAAAAAAGGAATGTGATAGAGTTACCGTCATTATAGGAAGGAATGTTGATCAATAAGTTGTCCTTATAATATGGTTAAATATAAATTATTGTTATGAAATAGAAACACCCTTTATCGACTTTACTTCATAAAGTCGGATATGATTTGGTTGTGGTCTATGTCCGAACTAGGTTGAAATGTCGAAAATAACTTAGTTTTTATTAATGATTTTTTATGTTTGTAATGATTTAATTTTTGTTGATGATTTCTGTGTTAGAAGCGACTTAGTTTTTGCTAATAATTTTTTGTGATGAAAGTGACTTTGTTGATGAATTTCTTACCATAAATGATTTAATTCTCGTTAACAATTTCATCATTGATTTGGCCTAACTTCATTATGGAACTCTAGAATTAAACTATAGAATTTTTATAGGTAACCTAAATTTAGAATTGAGAAGAACATGGATACAATGACTTTTGTTATATAATTATATAACATGTGGAATGCTTGAATGTGAGCATGTGCATTTTTGGAATATGTGTGGTATTGACCTATGAAATTTCTAAATACAAATGTATTAATTGATGATTATTTGGTGTATCAGGAAGTGCGATCGGGATCAAAACTTCACCCAGAACAGGTAGATGGTCTTTACCCCTTTCTGTTATTATGTTAGATCCTCATAATGAATTTTATATAAATTCTTGCTACTCGGGTATGATTATTGGAATTTGTATGAAATAGTTGCTTGAATAATATGATTAACTTCGATTAATGGTATTAGTAATGGATGATCGAGATTGAATAATGTGATTAGTTTCGGCTAATGATATTTATGATGGATGACAGGGATTGAATGATGTGGTTAGCTTTGGCTAATGGTATCTATAATGGATGACAGGAATTAAATAATTTGATTAGCTTCAGCTAATGATATTTGTGATGGATGAGTGAGATCGAATAATATGATTAACTTCAGCTAATGGTATTCATAATAGATGATTGGGATTAAATAGTGTGATTAGCTTTGGCTAATGGTATCTACAATGGATGACTGGAATTTGAATAATGTAATTGGCTTTGGCTAATGATATCTATAATGGATGGCTGAGATTGAATAATGAGATTAGTTTCAATTAATAATATCTATAATGGATGATTGATAATAAATAAAATAATTAATCTCAACTAATAATGTTCTTATTGGTTATTTTTATTGGATAATTAAGGTTGAATGGAAGGATCTTGGGTAATGATATAATTATTTGATATATAGAATTAATTGCAAAAAATACATTTAAATGATGACACTTGGGTTTAAAGGAGACTAAGGAATCAACTTCAATCTCTAAAACTCAAGTCAAGTCAAGTGAATGAATATGATATACAAATAAAATTAATATTGTTTGATAAAATAAAAAATAATTGTATTATATAAAGTTAATGAAAAGAATTAACTTATCCAAGTTAATAATAAAATTTGAAATAATATTCTTCTTCCCATTATTATAATATTAAAAATTATTCTTTATTCTTTTATTGCATTTAAATTGTAACAGGAACATTACATAACAATGGCGTGTAGGAATTTCATTCCGCGGGTTTTGATATAAACTATATAATCGTATGTTTAGGATGATATGTATTTTGTGTAACAATATAATAGTGTGGAATTACCATTTAGCACTTTTAAAGACTTGTAATGAAAACTTTGTGAAAACAAATATGTAAACTTATATGCATGATGACATAATGATATGAATATATTGTTTATGTACTCTCTACCACAAAGATGTTAGATTGTGTGAAAATGCAAGTATTAAATTATATTAACTAATGATGTCTATGTGTTCGTATGAAGAGAAATATCGAGCTATTACATAAACAAGGGAAAGTTTTTATTACCATCAAGTTCTTCAAAGTGCAGGAGAGCTCCTGCTTAGCCATATTCGGGCTGTTGAATTCTCTTTCGACATGGCACCAAATAATAGCAAGCTATACAAGCTTCCTCTCCTTCTCCCTGTCCCTCCGCTGCGCCTGAATCCGTGAGAGCAGAGGAAGCAAACCCTTTTTTGTGGCGTCCAAGAAGACGGTCTGTTAATTCAGGGCTTCAAATCACTCTCTACCCTTCTGGTCCTGGGCTTTGTATGGGTCAGTCCATCATAGTTTTTTGGGTTAACCCAAAGAAAAATATCTCAGCCCAATTCATTTAGTTGGGCACCCAAAAAAGGGAAGTCTCCGATGCTCTTGAGGATTTTTTTTTTAGAGCTAAATAATAAACTCTCCTGCTTTCTAAACTTATAAAAGCCGGAGAGAGCCCTGCCTCCTCTTCAAACGCTTCTGCTGCTGCTTCCTTTTCCTCTTCCGCTTCCTTCACCTTCTGGGGTTCTCTCACTCAAAAGCTCGCCTCGTTTTCATCGTTCCCTAGCAACCAAGGTTTTGATCCAAGATTACCTTCTTCATTTATTTACTAATTTTCTACATAAACCCGATGATCTTAATCTTTTTTGTTCAAGAATGAGCTAGCTTGGTCCTTGATTGATGATTGATTATATGAATTGGGTTTTGTTTTTTTCAACTAATTTTTTATTTTTTTGAATTTTGAATTTTGACAGTTCTCTTCAACAAATCTTGTGGGCTTAACCTGTTGAAGTCAGTAGACATGGTATGTCAGTGCTAATGACTTGTTCCCCCAATTTTTGCTGTATTGCGAGCTTGGAAGAATTATTTGATTTAATCGACATCATCGATAATCTCTGAGAAACGGTTGTCTTAATATATGGTAGAATGATATTTGATTGCATTCTTTGAAACAATTAATAATATTTGAGCCTGTTCATCCTTCATTGTGTGAAAGATGGTAGAATGAATAGGACTCAAAAGTCTAAGCATCATCCATGTTTATTGCGTCAAATCTTATGTTGCTCAAGTCTGTGAATTTGTTCTATAGAAAATTTAGTAATTTAGCTGCATATGTTTATTTTAATCACTTGTTTCGACAATTGCAGGATCGCCAAGACCACCACAGTTCATCATTTGAACAGAGTTACCGCTGCTACCCTGTCTCTTTCATTGATAAGGTTTGAGAAATAACTACTACAATTTGAATCATAACTACTAAAGTTATGTTTCTTCAAAAAAATTTAGTTGTTGGTTTTCCTATTTGTTTGATGATATAGTGTTTTAGGTATATAGTAGTAGCTTATACATGTAAATGAATAAGATGTTTGTCAATCCACAAAAATATTATTCCTTGTTAAATTTGCTCCAAGTTATTTGTGTCTTTGCAGGCACATCTGGAAAAGGGGGATAAAAGTATGTCCATCTTCTCATTCATGTTCTATTATGCTATCCATTTCGTTTATTTTAAAAATAAAATCAAATAAAACTGGTTTTCAAGAATTGACAATCTACTATCTCTTGTTGCATCCAGTTATTATGCCTCCCTCAGCTCTTGATCGCCTTGGTAAGCAGATCATTCTCGATAAACTTCCTTTTCTGTATTCCTGCTATTGTATCTTGTGCCCTTAATCCTGGTTTAATGATTATACATCATTTAAAGCTAATGGTGCTTGCTGCAGCAACCTTGCACATTGACTATCCAATGCTTTTTGAACTCCATAATCCTTCTGCTGGACGTACTTCTCATTGTGGGGTTCTAGAATTTATTGCAGATGAGGGCATGATATACTTGCCCTACTGGGTATGCTTTTACATTATCTTCATGAATGTAATGGTTCGGCTATCATGTGCTTACTTGATCTGCTCATTTGGTGTACACTTTTAGATGATGGAGAACATGCTGCTACAAGAGGGGGACATTGTGCAATTGAGAAATACCAGCCTGGCAAAGGGAACTTTTGTGAAGCTGCAGCCCCACACCAAGGACTTCTTAGACATCTCCAATCCCAAAGCAATGTTGGTTTATTTATTGGTCATATTCTTTTCTACGTGATTGCAGTAAGCTTGGTAGCTCATTTTGTTCATTCCTTTATTGCTTGGTGATCATTTTGTAGCTTGGAAACTTCATTGAGGAACTACTCTTGTTTAACCACTGGTGATACAATAATGGTTGCCTATAACAACAAGAAGTACTACATTGATATAGTTGAAGCAAAACCCTCTTCTGCAATTAGTATTATTGAAACGGACTGTGAAGTGGATTTTGCTCCACCTCTTGATTATAAAGAACCTGAAAAACCAAAATCAATTCCTCGATCAAACAAGACACCTCCAGAAGGTTTTTTTCTCAATTTTATGTAAAAGATTTGTACAATTATCTGAATTGATTTTTTATTATTGGATTTATTTATCAAGTCCCTAAAACAAATGGTTTTGACTCTTCCTTTTTCAGGTATGGAAGAGCCAGCCGCAAAGATGCCAAGGTTCAGTGCATTTACTGGTTCAGCAAGGCGCTTGGATGGCAAACCCGCGACACAACCAACTGCATCCACTATCTGCCCTGTGTTGAAACATCACCAACCAGAAGCTGAGAAAAATGGCTCCAAGTTATTAAGCTCCTTATCACATCAGCAGTCTGGAAAGCTTGTGTTTGGTTCTACGTCAAACCAATCCCAAAATGAAACACCAAAGGTATGTCTTGCCTTGCTGGTAGTTCTGTAGATCATGTCCTCATTTTCCACAATGCACTTATTCCCTGACATGACCCGAACCTAGAATGTGCTTCCATTGTTTCTTCCACAAATTTTTCTGAAGAATTCGCCATGATATATCTGATCAATGCATAATATCATGAAAAATAGATACAATTTTTCGACTACCACTTAAATTGATCTGAATTGGTTTCTGTAATTAGGTTCCCTTAAAGAAAAGCACTCAGGAGCCTCCCCAGAAGGTGGAAGATCCGAAGTTTCAAGCTTTCACGGGGAAGAAGTATTCCCTAAAAGGCTGAATCTCAACTCCATTGGTGTCCATCCTTTTCTAGCATACACAGGATGAGATCGACTGATTCTGGTTATTTAATAGAATGTTTTTGCTACTGTATAATTTATATCTTTTGAACCCAAAATCGGGTACACGTCACCGGTCCAAACCTCAGAAGAACACCCAGTCAGCTTCTGTTTGGCATATGGGGTCTTCTATGGATCCTTATGTTTAGCATATAATTTAAGCGGGTACACGTCACCGGTCCAAACGTCAGAAGAACACTCAGTCAGCTTCTGTGTGGCATATGGGGTCTTCAATGGATCCTTATGTTTAGCATATAATTTATCAAGATAAAACTCATCAGGCTGTCAGTTTTTTCTTTTTCTTTTTTCGTTCCTTTGTTTTTTAAAACTTTTGATGCCCTCTACACCTGCAATATTTGATGGTGAGGCAGACCACCCATGATGCTCAGAGACTCGAATATTTCAGCCGTGTCTAACAAAGCGTAATTCTAATGTTCAAGATGACATAAAACCACTGAATTCCTCATGAGAAGTAGCTTCAGAAAGAAAAACAAAAGTCCATGATGCAGATGATTCTCATCTCCTTTATTAGATAATCAGAACTAGCAGAGTAGCTTCTTATTTCAATTAACTAATCATTATAATTAGAACGTAATAACATTTAGATGTTCGGCCCCACCTGATTACATGATACAGAGATGGTAATGGAAAAGTGCCGGTGAGAAATACAATAATAGTAGTAAAATAATAATTAGCTAAGCTTCCACAGGTGTCTCAATTGCAACCTTCTTGGAATACTTGATGCCTTCAGACTTATCATTGGCTTCCCAGAGTTCTGGCAGTGCTTCCTTGATATTATGAAGACTCTCTAACGCACAGTCCACACCTTCAATTCGATGAGAAGAGCCTACCTGTATCAGTTCCAACGGTGCTCACTTTATTGATTCAACATTTTCGAAGCAGTATGGAAAATTCAGGGAAAATAAAACTGGCAGTCACTTTTTGCTTTATTATTTTTGGCCGAGGTTTATGATATCATTAACTTACCCAAACAGTGTGGAGACCCAATCCTTTTCCAGTCTGTAAGTTACGGATGCTATCATCAAAGAACAACTAAAGAGCAAGAAATCACAACGTTAAATGAACGCAGACTAGACAATGAAACTGAAGGCTATGAAAATCACTTAGAATAGCTTTGAATCATTGGACATCGTTATAGGGCATATTTTCAAATGACAGCACATTCTAAAGCTAATCCAAGCATTGATTCAACATGCAAACAATATAGAAATGCAAAACCGATGAATATCTGTGCTTGTAATGTAAGTTCAATTTTCTTACCGTCTTTCGAGGGTTGATGCTGGCAATCTTAAAAACCTGCTCAAATGCTTCCTCAAAAGGTTTGCAGACTACGGGGGTCCTTGGAAGTACAAGATCTGCATCAGGACAGGTAGTATATTCATCGATGTCAAAAAACTCTTGGTCGTCTCCATCAACAGGATCATTTCCTTTATTAGCCACATCATTCAAAGTCTCGAAGCATATGATCCTTTCAAAACAATCCTCCAATCCAAGCCTGCTAAGGACTCGACTTGCATGAGCCTTATCAGCATTGGTAAAGACCTTTCCGTGAAGAAAAAAGGATTATTACTCACCAGCAGAAATCTGATGAAGTCAACCAAATTCTTTTCCCAAATGCAGTAATTTTTAAAGAGTAAGCAACTAAGGAAGGAAACTTACAACTTTACGAACAGGCACATTAAGTAGGATATTCCTCAGGACAGGGTCGGGTTTAAGCATCTGATAGGGCAATCTTCCATGAACAAAACTGCAAAATACAAAAGCGTAGGACCACATCAATTTCATAAAAGATACTCCTTGTATTAATACACATAAGAGCAAGAAATCAGTACCTGTGGAAGTCATCATAGTCAAATTTATGCCCAATAGCCTGAAAAGCATAAAAATAGAAAGACAAAAAACCAAGAAAACTTTTTAGTGAAATCACTGTAAATTAAAAAAATCTTGTGAAAAAAAAAAACATCAAGTTCTTGGGTTATTACCCTGAGTCCAGCCATGGTCGTCCCATAATACTTGTACAATGAAACACACAACTCCGGAGCTTTACTTTCCTCAATGCCAAGCTTTTTAATCATATATTCTATGATAAATCAAGAACATTCCAAATCAATTAGGGTATATCACATAACATAATCTTAAAGAGAGAGAGAGTGCTTCATTAAGCAATACCTTGAATATTTTGGGTAACATGAACTGATAAACCAGAACCTTGTGGATAAAGGGTATCATCAATATCTGGAATTTTATATATAAAAAAGCCATCAGTTATAGTATAGTATTTTTATTCATCTTCAAGAAAAGAAGTCCACTACGAGAAAACATGACATCAAAAGAAAATGCTTAACAATAAAGCTTACCAAAAAGGAGGCAATCATATTTGTGCTCCAAAGCTTGCTGCTTCTGATCATCTTCATAAGACTCCATTTTCGTACTAACCAAAAGCAGAATCTTTACAAGTTGTTTTGATATCAACTGCAAGCAAACAACCGATTTAATTAGAAAAAAACACTAAAAAAATCCAACTTCTCTTACTGCCCACCAAATCTGGAAATCAAAACGACAAGCAAAGGAGAAAAACAAACAGATTGGTTATAATATACACAGTACTTCAACACATTGTTATCCCAGCGGTCTACTGTAAACAACAAACCTGAGAGAGACAAAAGCGAGCAAGCAACTTACCAGATCTCAAAAGATCAGAGAGATGCTATTTGAGAGAGAAAGGGAGATATTAGTTTTCTTTTAAAGTGGAAAGGAAGGTCGGTGAGTGAGATCAACAGTTACATATATTTTTAGTTTTTTTATTGGACTAGAACAGACGCGACCTCATGAACTCCGGGAGACACGACTACTTTTTACTTCTTCACTTCTGATTTTTTTTTTTATGTATTGAAATAAGTACGCGAGATGCTATTTGAGAGAGAAAGGGAGATATTAGTTTTCTTTTAAAGTGGAAAATAAGGTCGGTGAGTGAGATCAACAGTTACATATATTTTTAGTTTTTTTATGGGACTAGAACAGACGCGACCTCATGAACTCCGGGAGACACAACTACTTTTTACTTCTTCACTCATCAGCCTATTGTTTCTTTCATGTCAGACCACTCATCAGCCTATTGTTTCTTTCATGTATCGGTCCTCGATCTTCAAATTCTTGCAAACATGGCTCAAACCTTCATCATCATGACATGTTCATCATTCATCCGTGTTTAAGAATATGTTTAAAAAGTATTTTTAAAAAAATTTAAAAAATTTAAAAAATTAATATATTTTTAATATTTTTAAATTATTTTGATAGGTTGATCTCAAAAATAATTTTTAAAAAACAAAAAAATATTATTGATATATTTTTCTGAGTGAAAAACACTTTAAAAAATAACAATAACCACACTTTAAAACAGGTTAGAATTTCAACTCTTGACTTTTCCGTTATTTTTCCCTGAGAATATAGTCATGGCGCAATAACTAAATAAAGTGTTTTTATTGTTGATTTATACGATTAGGGTGATTTTTTACGTTGAGTTGGGATATATTTTAATGGATAGGTATAGTTTTTGATGTATTTTTTACCTTTGATTTGAAGAAAAATAGGTACTAAAATAGATATTTTAATATAGATATGATCTTTAAAAAACATCAAATCATATATTAATTATTTTAATTATAATTTTTAAATCCATTTCAAAAATCAATCTGAGATAAATTATGTGTCGTGTGTAAAATAAGTTGATTTAATTAACCTGAGTCAACTTAATTTTTCTATCTTATAAAAATATAAAAAGAACATCATTTTTTTATAAAATAAAAGAAAAAAAGTTAAAGAACTTTGACCAGTTTTTAAATGTGTTTTCTCTTAACTGACCGAATTTTAAATCAACCCAGGTTTTTATATAGATCACGTCAAGTAATTCTTCTATAATTTTATTAAGACCTAACTCGGTTTATATTTCAAGTCATCCAGGTCATGAATTAACCCACTAAATTATATTAGGTTTTATAAACAATGATTTTAACCCAAATCTTAAAATAACTTAAATATAAAATTATATAAAAATTCTCTGAATGCAACTATAATAGCAAAACACATTATTCAAATTTCATCTTAAAATAACTTAAGTAATATTTTGGTGCCATAATGGCAAGAATATTGAAGATGTTGTCTCCAAAAATAATATTGAAATATTGAGCCAAATTTAACCAAAAGTTGAGAGTTGATAACTGATTTGTGAAGTGCATAATACATTTAGGACTGATTTGTAGTTATCCTTTTTATATATATTATCTTGTTATTGTTATTATCGAAAATGTATTATCATGTCATTCTTGTATCAGGCTTTGACACGTCTCAATCTCACTTTACTTTTTGACGTGACTTGTTGCACTCCTCCGCATAACGCTAGACTCTGGCCCGGTCTGGTTTTATTTCCTTTGACAAGCGCATACGATTTGCCACGTCCTCACTTGGAACTTTCTATTTAAAAAAAATTTGCAACCTTGCTTTTGTAATTTTCTTTTTATGATTTTTCTTTTTTTTTTTAATTTAGATTGCTTCACTGTACATGTCAGCCTGCGTTTCGTGGAATAATAGTTCTTTTAACATAAAAGTATGGCATGAGAAAACTCAATTTGAAATATTAAATAAATTAACATTAACTTATCAAAAAAATCAAAATAAAAAAGTCAAAATTTTTTAAAAAAATATCAGCTTTAAATAAAGCAATATTTAACTTTTTAAATCTTCTCTAATCTAAAAAATCAGTAACTCATTAAATTCTTAATCCAAATTCAATTAAAAAACTTAAATATCATTCAATTTAATTTTAAATTATAAAATCTTTGAAAAAACTATCAATAAAAAAACTTATAAAAGAAAATAAGCAAAAAAAAAAGATTTGAAACCTGATAGGAAAAAAAACTAAATAAAGATAAAATTCAAAAACAAATTGAAAAAATAATTAGGATTAAATTTAACATCAAGGAATGAAATTATAAAAAGTAATAAAAAAACCAATAAACCATGCAAAAAACCAATAATTGAAAAATTAGAACCGAATTAAACATAAAAATCAAATCAAATTAGATATTCAGGGATAAAATTGTAATAAATTAATACATCAACAAAATAATTTAAAAATAGCAATTAAAATAAATATGACCTAATTTAACACAAAAATTAAATGAAAACAAAAATGTCTCAGTGAAATTATAAAAAAACAAATCAATTAAGAAAATAATTTAAAACAAAATAAATAACAATTCAAAGAATAAGCACCCAATTTGAAAACAAATTTCAAAAATAAAATAATTAGGAATGGAATCATAAATAAAATCCATGTAGAAACAACCAATGTAAATAAAAAAAATAGCAAGTTAAAGAAGAGAGATTGAATAAAAAAATAATTAAAGGGTTGGTTTGATTTTTTGGTTAATTTGTATGTAAATCCATGAAAAAAGAGAAGAAAAAAAAAAGTTATTTTTCAGCTAACCTATGACAAACTATTCACAAACATTTCATCTAAAAATAAATAAATGATGCAGCGAAATCATCAGCATAATTACTAGAGTTACCCTTACACCCTCATAAAGTTAGTGGAGCGGTTGATTTAGTGGTCAGTTTTTTGTATGTACCAATAATTTTTTTGTTTTATTTTTTTGATTACATAAAATTTAAAATGCTTCCAAAACTAATTAACAATCACAAAATAGACCACAAAGAAATTACTATAAAACCCCTAAATGCAAGGATAACAAATTGGAATGGCATGGATAATGTTGTAATTTTATATTCAACTAAACATGAAAATACAAAAACATTGAATTATTCAATTTCAGGGTTAAATGTGTTATTTTTATGTGAATTTACAAACACAACTATCAAAATAACCACATTTAATTTTCAGAAAATATTCACGCCACGTGAAAAGTAGCATCTTACCCCCCTCGAAGTAAAGGTAAAAAATGAAAATGACTAAATAGCAAGACAGTAATTATATTATTAAAATAAATAGTAAAGTAATTATATTATTAAAATGAACAGTAAATTGTGTCCCGAGTACAGTAAAATAACTGTCTTCTTTAATTTTTTGTTAATTATTAATAACCAGCTCTCATGCTTACATTGGAACTAAGAAGATTCTAATTATTGAAATCTAAACATGTTTAGTTAAATTAATTTATCAAATACAATGTATAATCAACTTTATATTTACAAATAACTAAAAATAAGATAATATAAAAGTAGACAATTAAAATTGAAAGTGAAGGTGAAGGTGAAACAAAACATGGTAAGATCATTTTTAATTAGGTAAGATAACCACTTTGATATTATTCGGAAAAGTATGACATCTTGATATCTGAAGGGTTCATTTGAAAGAAACTCCAGCTACAAGATCTTAATTTCAAACTGTTCACCGTGTTATCTCATTAGTTATAATCCAGGTCATTTAAATAGATTAAATATTCTAAAAAAAATCACTCAACAAATTAATACTCATTAGACATGCATTATGTAAGCAGATAAACAAATGCTCAGTGAAACGGAGCGAAGTGAGAAGACTATAAATATGCATTATGTAGCTTTAATTTGATAATTAGAGAAATAAAACTTTTCGCTAATTCTATTAATGCAAACACTTTACTGAACCATGCTATTAATCCAGTGACTCATGCGTGTAGATGTTGAAATTTCTTCTTTTTTAAAAAAATAATAAAACATTTATTTTGAATCAGCAATATTAATTAATAGATTAACGTGAATGAAGAAAGCATGATGGCTGCTGATGGTGCCCCATATGTCTACAAACAAGAGACGAGATGGTAAGTTTTTTATGGTCTCATTTTCGAGTTTTTGGTTGTTTATATAATGGTTACTGGAGGCTTACATGATTGTTAATTTCAGAATTATAAGATTAGTCATGATACGTATAAGCTGACCTGAACACTCACGTTAGTCTAAAAAAAAAAGACGGTAAATGTGGGCATGAACAGGAAACATTATGAGCAGATCAGTAACCTATAATTCTGACTTAATTTCGACGAGGCGGAAGCCAGGACTAATTAATTTCACATGCATCGTGTATTCCTTTTTTGTCGTATAGTAGAACGGCATCATTGTCTGCTATGCGCGGTGGGATTCAACCAGTTTTTTTTAAGTAAATAAAAATATCTAAATATTTGTATTGTGGTTATTTTATAATTTTTTAAATTATTGTATGTGAATTGATATGGAAATGGATATGGTATAATTTAACTGACTTAATAAATTTAAAACTAATTTGGATAATAAGGATATAGTTTAATTTGAAAAAATTAAAATAATATTTTTTTAAAAATATTAAAATAACAAAATATTAGATGAATTTAACTCAAGTTAATATATTAAATTTGTTACCTATATCATGAGACCTTGATTACTTTATAAAAATAAATAATTTTTTTTATTAAATTCAGTTCCCAATTAACTCAATATTAAATGATAAAATAAAAAAAAACATTCATGAAAAAAATAAGTCAAGTCAACTTGAATTAATTAGTTAAATCTGGGTTATAAGACTACGATAACCCTATAAAAAACAAGTATAAATAAATTATGAAGCTAAATTTTTATTCAACCCAATGTTTAACAATGAAATTAAAAAAAAAATTAATAGAAAAAAAACAACATAAAAACCATCCGAATCAATCAACTAGATCCATGTTATAAAACCTTGACCAAAATAAATTATAAAATTCAATTCTCAATTAATTTAGAATTGAAAGATAATATTAAGAATAATTCAACTAAAAAGGGGGAA